CAATGAAGGGTTTATGGGCAGACCGTCACTGGCCCAGATAAACACACACACCAATATCATGAAATCCATGGGTGAGGATATGGTGTCAAGTGAACACATAGAAGATGTAGTATTACAGGTACGTAGGCAGGTCCTTCTCCACCACCTGCAAAGAGAAAGTAGAAATGAGACAGAGTTGGCAAATGGGGAACGGCACCATTGCAGGAACATGGACTAACTATTCACTACAACATGATACAATGAACTTAACTATGGCAAACATAATGCATCAATCCACCTAAATAAACTCCCATTGGATGAGATTACATAACAAAGTCCAAGCTAAAACCCCACCACGTGGATACTGCATTTCACAACATGCACAGATTAAAAGCACAGTGAGTGCCACTTACGACGGGATCATCTGTTGGGCCGTATCTCTTCACCACTTGTCCTTCTCTATTTATCAGAAACTGTTGAGGAATACACATCAAAATATTAGCATGCGTTCTTTTCATGAAGTTGAGGCAAGAAAATTAAGCAACATCTTTACTAAAGATGTTTCTTAAAACTGGGATAGTATATTAGCATATTACCTTTGTGAAGTTCCATTTAATATTACTGTGCAGAGAGAGAAAAACGTATTACAAGCACGCAGTACCATAAAGACGGCTTTTTCATCCTTCATGGAGCACAGACTGTGTAGTCAGTTTCAATCATTAGAATTGTGACCAGTTTTCATGGTGGAATGCATAGAATTACACTTCTCTACCCACTCCTGCGGCATAATCTACTTCTCCCCCATCCATTTGTATGACTTTTCCAGCTTACTGGCAGGTTATTAGGGGTATTGTATTAAGTGCAGATGGTATTGATACAGTGGCACATAAGTACAAAGATGACTTATATGTCCTTTGACACTAGCTCACCATCAGCTGTTGTATTGAGGCGACCATGATAGAATCTTGTCAATGATGTAATAAAGTTGTGAAACATTTTACAACACATAATGTTCATTATGTAACAATGACGTGCAGAAATCAAAACTCACTGAAAAAAAGTGTTAAATTCATGTTCCTCTAAAGGCCATTACTCATTTTGTGTACACAGTGTCTTAAAACCATTTGTCAAGTAAACAGAAAAATAGATACAATAACTCACTTTCCCAGGAGTCCTTTGCCTTTGGGCTGTGCCTTCATCCACTTCCAGAGAGGGTGAGCGTTGTCTCCATTCACATCAATCTTACTGAAGAGGTCAAATTCTGCATTGTAACCTTTGGCAAACTCTTTAATCTCTGCATCAGTCCCTGGTTCCTGGATCATACAAAAAAAAAATAATAATAAAAAATCTTTGTTAGAAAAAATAAGTTTTGTGAGCTGATTAAGCTCACTAAATTCTGCATACTTTGAGAACACTTAACAGTTTCTGCCGAGCCTCTTTAAGATTCAATGTCAACATCACCGCTGCTCTATGATACCAGTTATTTTCAACAGCTTGAAAACTAACCAAAAGTATCAAAACATGAACTTTGGTTCGGACCTTGGTGCGGACTTTCAGGTGTGAAAGCCCCCTAAAAGGGCCTTTACTCAGCAAAGAACCTTCTATTTCTTTTAAATTTAATACATTCAGTGCAACCTTGTCTTATGTGCAGCACTCTTTTGTGTCCTTTTGTTTGTCTGTCTCAACAGTTTCTTGTTGTTTGGTTTTGCACTGATTAGAAGAAATACTCCTATTCTGGTTGTAGATGTTGTACAGTTACAATAAAGGCTTTCTATTGTAGTATGAATAAAACATATTCAGAATGAATAATTATTAAAATTACTTTCATCCTGCCAGATCACTTTATTCCAAAAGAACAGTGAGTTGGAGGAAACGTTTAAGATGAACAGGCAGTAGTTTAACAGTTCAAGGGTCATGTGTTGTGTTAATGGCAACATTGACAATACTGTAATCATGCGATAGAGCACAAAATAAAAACAAAAGATCAGTATATTGTGCTTACCTGCCCTCCAAACTGGTTGCATGGGAAGCCCAAGATGCGTAAACCTTGCTCAGCATAGGAGGCGTGCATTCCCGCTAGCTGAGTGTAGTTTACCTTGGTCTTTCCTCATTTAGAGGCTACATTTACGATGATGCATACATACCCTCTGACAGGGAGAAACAGAACAAATAGGTTAAACTGAGGTTAAACAATTCTACTGCTTCTATGTGATGCCTAAACATTACAACAGTGAGAAATATACCACTCTGTACTGCGGTTCTTTCAAACTCTATGGAAGTCAGTAATTCCTCAGCCTTATTTATAGCATATGGACACATATTATGTTATATATACTTTACTTGTATTTCTCAAGAGAAACCTCGCTGCCATCAATATCCTTGGCAGAGAACTCGTATATTGTCTTGGCACTCTGCCAGTCTCCCACCTGAGCACACTGCAGAGAGGTGAAAAATGGACATGTGTCATTGACTAAGACAGCTGAAGGTAGAGTTTTGTGAGTCCATGCAAAAAAACAAGGGC